AAAGGAAAAATTATCTTTCAATTCTCTTGAGGTAGTTCATTTTTACCAATTAATAATTTAAAATATCAGTGAAAAAATCAACTGAATTTTATTAAATGAACTGTGCATCTTACATATTTCTTATAAACTAAAAAGTTTTAGAAAGTTTTTGTCTAATATGACTATGAATTTGCATGATTGATATGACTAAATTTTACGTAATGTCACTAGGTACAATGTCTATTGTATAAAAAAGCTTATAAACTGAATGGGACAATTATTATAAGACACTCTTGATTCATAATCTGGAAAAGAACCCATACTTTCATAAAATGAATTAAATTACTGCTACTTAGTTTGTGCAAGAAAAAAATACTTGACAAAGTGATGAGACTATTCAAGTATGGAATGAAAGTGTGAGATAATTTGAAAGCTCATATTAATTGCCCCCAAATGTACTCTATTATTTAAGTAAAATTATTAACTCAAGCTTTTAAAATGCCAAGCTTTAAAATACTAAAAACTGTTCTGGACTATGCAGCACCAAATTCACTCAAAAATTGTCCTTTTTTTTTTTTTTCCAACTGAGTTCTTTGTTCAAACAAGTTTTCTCATATTGGCAAAGTGCTTTCATAAGCAAACTGAGATTATGTTATTCAACAACTCTGGTGACAGTTTAGTTCTTGAAGATTATTTTAAGTGTTTAGTAAATCCAGAAGCTGCACTGTTGGTGCCAGTGAAAGGGCTAAAGTCAGATGGAGTAAAAGATGAATCAGTCCCATGGCATTACATTGGTCTATGGTTTGTAACAGTTCATTCAGGGAAAGATGTCATACTGATAGCAGCAAAAAGTCTGGAGTTGGTCTTCCTGGCTTCACATTCTGGTTCATCACTCCCACCCCATTCACCAGATGGCTCACCTGAAGCAAGTTACTTATTAACGTCTCTTAAACTGACTTCATCTCTACATGGAGACAGAAATTGTATCTATCTCATACATAGGTGTGAGGTTTAAGTGAATGTTCAGCATCTAACAAAAGAGAAAAAGGTTTGGTCATTTATCTCTCACTGATAAAATATGATTTAAAAATAGTTTTATGTGCAAATGGGCTTCCTGATTATGTTCTGTATTTTCTTTTGCTATTGTTATGCATGTCAGGGACTTCTTTTTCTCATTCACAGTACTTAATATAGCAGATATATGGCATGATTGTGTTTTGCCCAATGTGAATATTTTAGCATATCCTCTCTTTGGTAAACATAACTGTTTACTCTGAAATACTTGGTTATAAATATAAAATAGTGGAAAAAATAATTCAAAAAATAAATAAAATTTGTTTTATTTAATCTATAATTTTTATTAATCTTTCCCTTCCCTGTCTGTGATGATAAATTTTAGGTGTCAATTTGACTACAGTAAGGGAAATCTAGGTAGCCAGTGAAGAATTGTTTCTGAGTGTGTCTGTGAAGGTGTTTACAGAGGAGATTGACCTGTGATTGGTGGACTGAGTAAGGTAGATTTTCCCTTCCCTGTCTGTGATGGTAAATTTTAGGTGTCAATTTGACTACAGTAAGGGATATCTAGGTAGCCAGTGAAGAATTGTTTCTGAATGTGTCTGTGAAGGTGTTTACAGAGGAGATTGACTTGTGATTGGTGGACTGAGTAAGGTAGATCCACCCTCGGTATTGGTGGGCACCATCCCAATGACTGGAGACCAGAGCAAAAAGAAAAGGCAGGAGAACAGTTAGCTTCTAGAGCTGGGACACCCTTCTTCTCCAGGTGGCTATCTTTTGGACTATAGGACTTGTAGAGGCATCCCTTTTTTCTCAGGTCTTTGGCTGTGACTGAGAATTATGCCTTGGACAAGGCCATACTAGTAGCCTCCCTAGGTCTCCAGCTTGCACATTCTCAGCCTCTATAGTGTTGTGAGTCAATTCCTCTAATAAATCTTTTCTCATATATGTATGTATTTATATGTTTATTCTATTGCTTCTTTCTGAAGAGCTCCAACTAATAGACTATTTTTAAGATCCTTAAAGAGAAGAGTTTGGTCACTTGTTCCTCACTGCTAAAATATGATTTTTAAACAGCTTCCTGATTACATCTTGTAATTTCTTTTGTTATTATGTATGTCTACTAAAATGGTGAAGTGTAGTACATGCCAGCTCAGTCAGGAACTTCTCTCTCTTGTCCACAATTGTAACTCAGTGCCTTATACAGCATAATAAATGCTCCATGAATATTTTTGAACAAATAAATGGTTGAGTCCATGCAGATTAATTGGACAATGAATTCTAAGTATTTAAGAGTTTTTGTAAATTGAATTTTAGTTATAAAATAATAAATCTTTTATATAGTAAAAATGAGCATGTAAGTATAAATTACATAAGAATCCACTCACTACCCATAAATATATTTCTTAGTATTTTTCCATATAATCTTTTATGTTTATATATGCTCTATACATATATGTATAGTCATAAAATGACTGAAAATAATGTTTTAGAACAAAATGTATATTG